GCAGTTTGAAACAGCAATCTCAATACCCTGAAACTCTGATCACATCTCCTGAGGAAAAAGGACCCACCTGGCCACGTGAGAACCATCCCTTATATAAAGTGATTCTTCACAGAAATCCTGCACTCCTCTAATGCATTTAAGGTGTGAAGAGCACTATTCAAAGCACTATACCAGCTCCAAGTCCACCACTTAACTACCCACATGACTCAAGCTCTTTCCACCTCTAGTGCTTTACCAGCAAAACCAGCGCAACCTGTATCCATGGTAGCTCACAGGGATACTGTGACAATCCACAAAAAATGGCATAACAAAAAGGAACTTAACTAGGGAGCAGTACTGCATGTAGCTAGGACCTACGGTCACCTCGGTCCTATGGAGGTTACTACCTACACACTTACAGCTTTAAGAGACTCTTGGCACACAGTAACTGAGGCAATGATTTTACTGAAAAGGGTAGAAAGGGGGACTGATTCACTCCTAGCCTTCTACTGTTCAGGCTTTAAAACAAGCCAACCAGAGCCAAGGCTGAGAAAACCTAGGGACAATTCAGCTTTTAACCCTATGACTGCAAAATATGGTAATGGGAAGCCCATTGGAGAACCGCCCCTCCCAAAAAAACAAGCAAGCTAATCTTTGCAGACTAGCATGTCTTTCCCTAACCAGAATAAAATCAAAGGGCAGAGGGAAAGCAAAGCCCTGGCAGCATGCATTCAAATAATCCAAAACCCTGTCTTCTAATCTTGAGCTCACTATCTGATATGCCTCCAAAATCCTTTTTACCAAATACACAAATTACTTTTTAAAGCACAGCAAACTCTCAGATGTATTGTATAGAGAATCTGATTAAGTAAAACAATTCAAATGACTATTTACTGAGTGGTTACCAAGGTAGTATTACAAACGCCAGCAAGTTGCCTGGGAGTCAAGATGGCTTCCCCTGGAGTCTTTAGGTCAAGTTTCTGAACCTGGGTTTGCTTAATTTTGTAAAACCAAAGTTTTCTTTTTTTCTTTTTTGAGACAGAGTCTGGCTCTGTCACCAGGCACCAAGGGGGAGTGCAGTGGTGCTATCTTGGCTCACTGCAACCTCTGACTCCCGGGTTCAAGCAATTCTCCTGCCTCAGCCTCCCGAGTAGCTGGGACTAGTAGAAACGGGTTTCACCATGTTGGCCAGAAAGGCCTTGATCTCTTGACCCCCGTGATCTGCCCACCTTGGCCTCCCAAAGAGCTGGGATTACAGGCGTGAGCCACAGCGCCCGGCCCAGTTTTCTGGATTGTAAAATGTAGTTAACTCTAACAGTACCTCCTCAGGAATATAAATTTTTATTTTTAAAATAACCAATCCATCGGTTGCTGATTTGCCCATAAAATTACTCAGGAAGGGGAACAGGTTAAGTCATTGCTTTTATATATGGAACAACATTTTAAAAAGTTTTTTTTTTTTTTTAACTTATACATTCCCCTAAAATGAATGTGTTTTCTCCTGACTACCATTAACTCTGAATCTTGACTGACTTTAAATAGAACAGATTTCTCATCAAAAGCAAGCAAATCCTCTTCTCACAACCAGAAGAGAACAGCAAAACAAGGTTTCCAACCTGGGGTCCCAGATCAAGCTTGCTAGTTCACCGTGTTTTTGTCCACTGAACACTCAACTCCTGGTAGAGACAGAAGTCCAAAGAATCAAATTTCTATTTTCCTCCTGTCTCTCAAAGGCTTTCAAGATAAAAATCGGAATTCACTGCCCATCAGAGGGCCACCAGTGATCCAACCTTAAACGCTATAGAAATTTCAGTGTTTTTTTGTTTGGTAGAGCTAGGGTTTCACCATGTTGCCCAGGATGGTACTGAACTCCTGAACTCAAACAGTCCTCTCACCTCAGCCTCCCAAAGTGCTGGGATTACAGGCGTGAGCCACTACACCCAGCACAACTTCAGTTCTTAATAAAGCACAGACTCAAATCTCTGGTCTTCAGATACTCTCTTCTCTGCCTCTCCCCAACCATCTCCTTCTTCTTCACCACTTCCACAAGTCTTCCTCTCATGGAGGAACAGGTCCCTGCCCCCAGCAGGTGGGGGGGGTCACCTCCTGCATTCTCCCTACCAAGCAACTCCACTAACTTCTATCACAGCATAATTACCTTACTATAAATATGCTAATGGTCTCCCCATTCTGGGCATGGGCTTGTAAAGAGCTTTCCTGGTTAAGACTTGTAATAAATAAATAAAAAGACTTACAATGACCAAAAAAAAAAAAAAAGTTTTCCACAAGCCCTGTGAAAAATACCCAAGTGAGGCCAGCTTCATATCTCTATGAAGCCAGTACTAAACTTGAGATTTGAAGCTCTTTCCAACAAGGGCTATTTTATTCTAAAACTTTCAGGTTCCACAGTTCACATGTATTTGTAAAATGACTCAGTCACAAAATGACCACTTGAAAATGCACAGGGGAAAATAGAACATTTGAGAATGGCACCCGAAATGCTAATCTATAACTAAATTAACCCTCTCATCTAGCAAGGTTCTACCAGCACTCCTTCCTGCATACTGTAAATAAATTTATCTTCAAGCCCTCCAAATACCACCCTCAGAAATCCTACCGGGCTTCCCTAGATAGATGCTGATTAAAGTCAAAATTAACACATCCCTTCCAAGTTTTCAACACTAAAGTGTTGAGGATGGAGGAAGCTTTTCTCTTCATTTCTAAGGGCCAGTAACCTTGTTATTTTATTTCTCCCTACCTAAGGAGAGAGAGAATCTGGAATTTTCTCCAGATTTATTATCTAATAATATAGCTAGCACTTAATGAACGCTCTTTTGTGTGTGTGGTTTTTTTTTTTTTTTTTTTTTTTTTTTTGAGACGGAGTTTCGCTCTTGTTACCCAGGCTGGAGTGCAATGGCACGATCTCGGCTCACCGCAACCTCCGCCTCCTGGGTTCAGGCAGTTCTCCTGCCTCAGCCTCCCGAGTAGCTAGGATTACAGGCACACGCCACCATGCCCAGCTAATTTTTTGTATTTTTAGTAGAGACAGGGTTTCACCATGGTGACCAGGATGGTCTCGATCTCTTGACCTCGTGATCCACCCGCCTCGGCCTCCTAAAGTGCTGGGATTACAGGCTTGAGCCACCGCGCCCGGCCCCTAATGAAAGCTCTTAACGTAAGCGCTCAACTACACAAGGCGCAGTAGCTCACAGCTGTAATCTAAGAACTTTGGAAGGCGAAGCAGGAGGATGGCTTGAGCCTAAGAGTTTCAGACCAGTCTGGGCAACACAGAGACCCTGTCTCTACAAAAAATAAAAAAAAAAATTTTTTTTGATTAGCTGGACATGGTGGTGCTGCGCCTCTTATCTCAGCTACTTGGGAGGCTGAGAGAGGAGGATGGCTTGAACCCGGGAGTTCCAGGGTACAGTGACCTGTGATTGCGCCACTGCATCCCATCTTGGGCAACAAAGTGACACCGCCTCAAAAAAAATTACCTATATAAGTGTTCAACCACATTCACTTTTAATCTCCATAAACTAAGTTTCACACATTAAAATATGAGGGAAGGCAAATCACAACAGGAAAGAAAACGGAGTTAGTGTTTAATAGCTACAGTTTCTGTTTCCAATGACGAAAAAGTTCTGGAGAGGCCAAGCACTGTGGCTCACGCCGGTAATCCCAGCACTTTGGGAAGCCGAAGCGGGTGATCAGGAGTTCGAGACCAGCCTGGCCAACATGGTGAAACCCCGTCTCTATTAAAAATACGAAAATGAGCTGGGCGTGGTGGCACATGCCTGTGGTCCCAGCTAACAGGGAGGCTGAGGCAGGAGAATCGCTCGAACTCAGGAGGCAGGAGTTACAGTGAGCCAAGATCTCACCACTGCACTCCAGCCTGGGTAACAAGAGTGAAACTCCGTCTCAAAAAAAAAAAAAAAAGTTAAAATGCCAAAGTCTACGTTACGTCTATATTGCCACAACAAAATAAATGTCTGGAAATCCAATGTGTACCCAGGCTTCCTCTCCCTTCCCCGCCCTCCGGGAAATCCAATGTGTACCCACTCTCCTCTCTCTCTCTCTCTCAAGTGGCTGTAATCAGAATAAGTGAGTTTCAAGGGGGCACAAGTCGACGCTTCCTCCTTGATGGAACCTTTTAAAAGCCAAGAAGTCAAAGTGCCTGAGCAGGTTTCAAAAACCTTATGGCGTCTGCAAGTAAATGAAACCGCCTTATGACAGAACAGCTTCCCCACAAATACGGGAAGAAGGGAATTCCTCCCCCGACTTCGGGTCTGTCTGCTTCTGAGGGTGAACGCTGAGCAGCAGATCCCACCTCTCCGCTAATGCCTGCGGCGCACCCAGGGAAGAGGCGCGGGAAGCGGCGAAGGGCTTGAGCCGAGGCCAGAGCGTGGGGCGAGGGGCGGTTCCCAGGGAGGCACTTCCCGTCGGGCGGGGAGGAGGGTGGGCGCGCGGGGACTGAGGAGCAGCAGGAGGCGAGACCCCTACCCGGCTTCGCGGCCCTCCTGAGCCCCCCCCCCGCTCAGTTACCGTTGACTGGGGCTGACGGGGCGCGAGGCCGGGCGCACCATCCCCTCTCCCCCCCGTTACGGATCGGGAAACTGAGATCCTGGGCGAAGAGGGGATTGGGGGTGAAACCCGTTACCCAAGGTCACCCTCCCAGGAAGCGGCCGGGCCAGCCTCGGACTCGGGGGCTCTCCGGTTCAGGGGCCCGCGCCATCAACCCCCGTGCGGAGCGGCTGGGCCTGAGGCCTCGGCGACAGGGTTGGTCCCGGCCTGGAGAGACTGAGGGAGCGAAGGCTCGAGGCCCAGAGTAGGGAACGATTCTGGAGGCTCCCCCGGCTCCCCTCTCACGGACCTGGCCGCCGCCACCCGGGCAGGCGGTGCGGGAACAGCCGGGGCCGAGGACGCGCCGGGGCTAGGCCGCCAACAGACCTAATGGAGCTGCCGCCGGCGCCCGGCCGCGGAGAGGAAGCCCTACCAGGGGTAAGGAGCCGTGGAATACTCACCCCTTAGGGCCCGGAGCCCCGTTGCCGCTCGGCACGCCGGCCGCGCCGCTCTCCTCCTCCATTTTGATCTCCGTCGCCGCCACCTCGGCCGCCGCTTCGACCCCTGCCGCCATTTTCTCCGCGTCTGGGCTTTGTGTGAGCGAGCGGGCTGCGCCGCGTAGCGTCTGCGTGCCCACGTGACCCAACGCGACCAGTAACACCTGCGCGCGCCACTGCCGGCTGCCTCCTCGGCCCCTCCCGCCCCGGCCCATGCCCCGCCGTGCGCAAGCGCAGACCTGCAGCTGTTGATACCTTCGTTCTCGAGTTACGCTTGTGTTAAGCACCGGCTGGCTGTGCTGGCTGCGCGTCCTCGGAGTCCCATAGAAGAGGTATCTCCCCACCCCACAGACACCTAGGCCTAGTCACTCTCAGCTTTCTGTAACCAGAGCTGGAGCAGAGGAGGGGAAGCAATGATTCTGTCTAGTGATTCCTGAAAGTTTTAGATCAAGCTTGTCCAACCGCGGCCCAGCACACATTTGGAAACTTTCTTAAAACAGTCTGTCTTTTTTTTTTTTTTTTTTGAGGCACAGTTTCGCTCTTGTTACCCAGGCTGGAGTGCAATGGCGCTATCTCGGCTCACCGCAACCTCCGACTCCTGGGTTCAGGCAATTCTCCTGCCTCAGCCTCCAGAGTAGCTGGGATTACAGGCATGCGCCACAATGCCCAGCTAATTTTTGTATTTTTAGTAGAAACGGGGTTTCATCATGTTGACCAGGATGATCTCGATCTCTTGATCTCGTGATCCACCCGCCTCGGCCTCCCAAAGTGCTGGGATTACAGGTGTGAGCCACCGCGCCCGGCTAGACATTGTGTCTTTTTTATTGAATTAATTGCTTTAAAAAATTTTTAAAGAAAAATCTTGAATTAATTGCATTAAAACAATTTTTTTAGATTGTGTCTTTGAGTAATTTATTTTTTTTGTAACGCAGTTGCGCGGTTCTCCAGCGCGAACTTTGTAGGCAACAACGGAACGGAATGGAATAATCAGTATGTTATGTCCACAAATAATCAGAGTATTATCTGTAATTCCCATTATAATTAAAACAGTTCGGCGGAAGAAACAGAAAAGCCAGGCGCGGTGGCTCACGCCTGTAATCCCAGCACCTTGGGAGGCCGAGGCGGATGGATTACCTGAGGTCAGGAGTTTGAGACCAGCCTGGCCAACATGGAGAAACCCCGTCTCTACTAAAAATACAAAAATTAGCTTGGCATGGTGATGCGCGCCTGTAGTCCCAGCTACTTGGGAGGCTGAGGCAGGAGAATTGCTTGAACCCAGAAGGCGGAGGTTGCGGTGAGCCGAGATCGTGCCATTGCACTCCAGTCTGGGTAACAACAGCGAAACTCCGTCTCAAAAAAAAAAAAAAAAAATGTGTTGGGTCTGGCGGCAGGTGCCTGTAATCCCAGCTACTCGGGACGGGAGGCTGAGGCAGGAGAATCGCTTGAACCCGGGAGGCAGAGGTTGCGGTGAACTAAGATCGTACCATTGCACTCCAGCCTGAGCAACAAGGGCAAAACTCCATCTCAAATAATAATAATAATAATAATAATATTTCAACCTACCTTTGTAAATGATAGCTTACTGCAACCTTGAACTCCTGGGCTAAATCGATCCTCCCCGCTTAGCCTCTCAAGTAGCTGGGATTGCAGGTGTACGCCACTTGGCTAATTTTTTTTTTAATTTGGTACAGATAAGGTCTTGCTGTGTTGCGCAGGATGATCTCAAACTCCTGAGCTGAAGGGATCCTACAGCCTTGGCCTTCAAAAGAGCTGAGATTACAAGTGTGAGCCACTGTGCTGGTCCTTAAAGGATTATTAAAGACAGGCTAACGCCAAACTAAAACTCTTCTGTATGAAAATATTGGAATAGATTTGCAAAGAAGACAGCTTTCCTGGCAGGGTGCAGTATCTCATGCCTGTAATCCCAGCACTTTGGGAGGCTGAGGCTGGCGATCACCTGAGGTCAGGAGTTCGAGACCAGCCTGACAAATAGGGAGAAAACCCATCTCTACTAAAAATACAAAATTAGCTGGGCGTGGTGGCACATGCCTGTAATTCCAGCTACTCGGGAGGCTGAGGCAGGAGAATCGCTTGAACATGGGAGGTGGAGGTTGCGGTGAGCCAAGATTGTGCCATTGCACTCAAGCCTGGGCAACAAGAGTGAAACTCCATCTCAAAAAAAAAAAAAAAAGTTTCCTTCTTTCTCTCTCTCTCTTTTTGTAGAGAGAGGGTCTCACTCTGTTGGCCAGGCTGTTTTCTAACTCCCAGCCTTCAAGAGATCCTCCTGCCTTGGCCTCCCAAAGTGCTGGGATTTCAGGCATGTGCCACCCCACCTGGTCTTTCTCTTCATGGCATGTCCTGAGGCATGTGTACATCATCTCCTGGGGCACCACATGCCAAAGTTGGCCTGAGGAAAAATGGGTGCCAGGCTGTGTAGGGAGTTCAGCTGTAGGGGCAAGTTCAGAAGCTGGCCCCCTCAAGGGCCAGCAGAGCACATGCACATGGGTGTGATGCTCTGCGTCTGCAGACCACTTCTGTATCAGTCAGTCACCCCATGCCTATGCCTAGGAGGCCCTGCCCATCTCTCCGACCACCTGCCCCTGAATCACACTGCTCCAGCTGTCACGGGGTCCTCCCTGCTGCTCTTCCTACAAGCTAAGCAGGATCCAGTCTCTGGGCCTTTGTACTTTGCTGCTTCCTCCACTCCATGGCCACACAGGCTTCTCCTTGCCCTTCCAGCCTGTACAGAAAGTTTTTCTTCCTTTGTGGGAGAGCTAAGTACCAGGTAGGACTTCATATGGAAAACAGACCTTGAGCAATCAGCCCCTCCACTCTGAGGCTCAGTTTGCTTAACTGCAAATATGGATAATAAGAAATGCACCAGGCTGGGTGCAGTGGCTCACATCTGTAATCTCAGCACATTATTTTTTTTTTGGCAGAGTTTTGCTCTTGTTGCCCAGGCTGGAGTACAATGGCACGATCTTAGCTTACCGCAACCTCCGACTCCCAGGTTCAAGTGATTCTCCTGCCTCAGCCTCCCAAGTATATTGGATTACAGGCATACACCACCATGCCTGGCTAATTTTGTATTTTTAGTAGGGACAGGGTTTCACTGTGTTGGTCAGGCTGGTCTCGAACTCCCCACCTCAGGTGATCTGCCTGCCTTGGCCTCCCAAAATGCTAGGATTATAGGCATGAGCCACCGTGCCCAGCTAATCCCAGCACTTTGAGAGGTTGAATCATTTAAGGTCAGGAGTTCAATACAAGCCTGGCCAATATGATGAAACCCCGTCTCTACTAAAAATACAAAAATTAGCTGGGCAGGGTGGTGGGCACCTGTAGTCCCAGGTACTTGGGAGGCTGCGACAGGAGAATTGCTTGAACCCAGGAGGCAGAGGTTGCAGTGAACAGAGATGGCACCATTGCCCTCCAGCCTGGGTGACAGAGCAAGACTCTGTCTCAACAAACAAACGAAAAGAAATAAAGAAATGCACTCGAACTCACCTTTCAGGGCTGCCCTGAGCTTTAAAAGCAGACAGATGCCAAGAGTCTTTAAATGTAAAAGAATCAGCAGGCAGAAAGTGCTCAAGAACTAGGTACTGTTGCTGGGCCTAGTAATCCCAGCACTCTGGGGGGCCAAGGCAGGCGGATCACCTGAGGTCAGGAGTTCAAGAATAACCTGGCCAACATGTCGAAACCCCGACTCTACTGAAAATACAATTAGCTGGGCATGGTGGCGTGCACCTGTAGACCTGGCTACTCAGAAGGCTGAGGCACCAGAATTGCTTGAACTCGGGAGGTGGAGGTTGCAGTGAGTCCAAATTGCACCACTGCACTCCAGCCTGGGCAACAGACTGAGACTCTGTCTTAGAAAGAAGAAAAAGAAAAAAAAAAAAGTAGGTGCTGTTATTAGAATAATTGCATTCTGGCCAGGTGTGGTGGCTGACGCCTGTAATCCCAGTACTTTGTGGGGTGCCCAGGTGGGTGGATCACTTGAGGTCAGGAGTTTGAGACTAGCCTGGCCAACATGACAAGACCCCCATCTCTACTAAAAATACAAAACTTAGCTGGATGTGGCAGCATGTGCATGTGGTCCCAGTCACTTGGGAGGCTGAGGCAGGAGAGAATTGCTTGAACCTGGGAGGCAGAGGTTGTAGTGAACCAAGATCACACCACTGTACTACAGCCTGGGTGATGGGGTGAGACTGTCTCAAAAAAAAAAAAAAAATGCATTCTGCATCTTTCCTGAATCTTCCTCCAAAAGGAGTCCTGGGGTCACCCTAACTCTACTTCCTATAGCTCTGGGACCTTAGATTAAGGCTTCCCTGCTCTGGGCCTCAGTCTTCTCACCTGAAAATGGAGGTAATAACCACTTCTTCCCTAACAAGTGAGAGTCAGAGGAGGGAAAGACTCAGAACTATGCCTCATCTATAATGACCCTCAGTCAGTGTGGATATTGTCACCATGTTTTTTTAAATTGTTGCTTTAGAGACTCTTGCTCTGTCACCCAGGCTAGAGAGCAGAGGTACGATCATAGCTTACTTGCAGCCTGGAACTCCTGAATTCAAGGGATCCTCCTGAGTAGCTGTGATCACAGGTGCATGCCACCATGCCCAGCTTATTTATTTATTTTGTAAAGACAGGGTCTCACTATGTTGCCCAGGCTGGTCTCAAACTCCTAGGCTCAACTGATCCTCCCACCTCAGCCTCCAAAAATGCAGGGATTACAGGCATCAGTCACCAGGCCTGGCCCATGGTGGGCTCTCTACACTCACTAAAAACTAATAGTGGCTACGGGCAGTGGTGCGTGCATATAGTCCCAGCTGCTGGGGAGGCTGAGACAGGAGGACTGCCTTAGCCCAGGAGGTTGAGGCTGGAGTGAGCCGTGATTGTGCCACTGCACTCCAATCTCAGCAACAGAGCAAGACCCCATCTTAAAAAAAAACAAAGAAAGAAAAAAAGAGGCCGGCATTCTTTGGACTGGTAGATGTAAAGTAAGTGGAAATTGTTCTTATGTCTACTTTGCCTGTAATCCCAGCTACTCAGGAGGCTGAGGGAGGAGAATTGATTGAACCAGGGAGGCGGAGGTTACGGTGAGCCAAGATTGTCCAATTGCACTCCAGCCTGGGCAACAAGAGCAAAACTCCATCTCAAAAAAATGAAAAAATACAAAAAATTAGCTGGGCATGGTGGCATGTACCTATAGTCCCAGCTACTTGGGAGGCTGAGGCAGCAGAATCGATTGAACCTGGGAGGTGGAGGTTGCAGTGAGCAGAGATCGCACCACTGCACTCCAGCCTGGGCAACAGTGAGATTCTGTCTCAAAAAAAAAATAATAATTTCCTTTTGCTACCTGCTCTTCACTTAAAGACTGAGACTTTGCTTCTTCCCATGGGCTTCAGAACAAATCCCTAAAAACAAGCCAGTGTTATTTTCAATATTTTGTAGAGACAAGGTCTTGCTATATCGCCTAGGCTGGCCTTGAACTCCTGAGCTCAAGTGATCACCCCACCTCGGCCTCCCAAAGTATTGGGATTACAGTTCATGAGCTACTTTACCCAGCCTCATTTCTTTTTAGCACTGAATAATATCTCATTATCTTGAAGCACCACTGTTTATTTATTCATTCAGCTATTGAGTGACACCTTTTCTACTTGCAAGTTTTGGCAATTATGTGACTGATTGCCTTTCACATCACTGTGACTGAGGCCTTTCAGAAACGTAACTGACAGGTCCATTTTGTCCAGCCAAGGCTCCTTTTATTCATTCAGGGGTGGGTTTTTGAAACGCAGTGCAACTTTTTTAGAAAGTCAAGGGTGCCAGAAAAGTGAGCCTGCCAGGTGCAGGGAAGTGCAAGAAGCTTGCTGGAACGTTCCAGCTCTAAGGGTGCCCTTGATACACTGGCCACAGCTGCTGGCCCAGAAGGTGCCACGTGGACCTCAGCATGAGATGAGGGTGCCTGCTCCATCCAGAGCTCAGGACTGTGTACTTGTCCTTGACACAAACAACAGTGTGCAAAAAAAAAAAAAAAAAAACCTGAAAATATCATCACACAGGATCACAGACTTGTCCACGTGGTGTCTCTTGGCTTAAGAAGCATTCAGGCTGTGCAGGAAGTGTCAGGCGGTTTTCATCCTTCCACAGGACAGGGTATTGCCAGCTACCTCTGGGGTCTCTGCTGCAAGGCCCGGGGAGCCCAGCCTTCACACTGGTGTCTCCTCGGCCACCTTCTTCAAGAGTCCAGCCACCAGCGGAGAATGCTGGGGGCCCTCAGGGCCCTCAGCCTCCTGGATCTTCAGGCGTACTTTCTGGTTCGTCTTTCTCCACTCAGAGTACAGCTGGCAATGGTAGCGGAAGGAGACCTGTGGGGCAGTCCTGCAGTGAGCCGGGGTGGTGAGAAGGCCTCCACCCCCAAGGGAGGAAATCAAGTCCCTGTGACACCTGCATTGCCCAAACCAGGGCTGGGGCTCATGCTTCCAGGAGCAGAGATGGCTTATGAACATTCCTCATACAAAGGGCACACACAGTTCGGCTTCAGTGGCTCACGCCTGTAATCCCAACACTTTGGGAGGCTGAAGTTGGGGGCAGGGGATCACTTGAGCCCATGAGTTCAAGGCCAGCCTAGGCAACACATTAAGATCATGTCTCTACAAAATATTTAAAAATTAACCAGGTGTGGTGGGTGGCCCAGGCCTGTGGTCCTAGTTACTTAGAAGGCTGAGGGAGGAGAATCATTTGAGCCCAGGAGGTTAAGGGTGCAGTGAGGTGTGCTCGTGCCACTGTACTCCAACAGAGTGAGATCCTGTCTCAGAAGAAAAAAAAAAAGGCTGGTTGCGGTGGCTCACACCTATAATCCCAGCACTTTGGGAGGCAGGTGGGTCACCTGAAGCCAAGAGTTCGAGACCAATCTCGCCAACATGGTGAAACCCTCCCTGTCTCTACTAAAAATACAAAAATTAGGGCCAGATGCAGTGGCTCATGCCTATAATCCTAGCACTTTGGGAGGCCAAGGTGGGCAGATCACGAGGTGAAGAGATCAAGATCATCCTGGCCAACATGGTGAACCCCCATCTGTACTAAAAATACAAAAATTAGATGGGCGTGGTGCTGAGGCAAAAAAATCGCTTGAACCTGGGAGGCAGAGGTTGCAGTGAACTGAGATCACTCCACTGCACTCCAGCCTGTGCTGGATGGAGCGAGACTCCATCTCAAAAAAAAAAAAAAAAAATAGCTGGACATGGTGGCAGGCACCTGTAATCCCAGCTATTCGGGAGGCTAAGGAAGGAGAATCCCTTGAACCTGGGAGGCAGAGGTTGCATGAACCGAAATCACACCACTGCACTCCAGCATGGGTGACAAAGTGAGACTCTATCTGGAAAAAAAAAAAAGCCCTTAAGCCAGGAAAAGAACCTTAAATGCATATCACTAAATGAAAGAAACCACTGAAGATGCTACATGCTGAATGACTCCGAGTATAAGACATTCTGGAAAAGGCTAAACTATGAAGATAGTAAAAAGATCAGCAGTAGGCAGGGATTGGGGGAAAAGAGGGTAGGACGAAAAAGTAGCGCACAGAGGATTTTTTTTTTTTTTGAGATAGAGTTTTGCTTTTGTTGCTCAGGCTGGAGTGCAGTGGCATGATCTTGGCTCACTGCAACCTCCGCCTCCCAGGTTCAAGTAATTCTCCTGCCTCAGCCTCCCAAGTAGCTGGGACTACAATCAAGCGCCACCATGCCCAGCTAATTTTCATATTTTTAAGTAGAGACAGGGTATCTCCTTGTTGCTCAGGCTGGTCTCAAACTTCTGACCTCAGGTGATCCATCCGCCTCTGCCTCCCAAAGTGCTGGGATTACAGGCATGAGCCACTGTGCCCGATGAGCACAGAGGATTTTTAGGGCAATGAAACTACTCTGTCTGATATTATAATGGTGAATACATGTCATTATACAGTCATCAAAATTTATAAATGTTTAACAGCAAGAGTCAACTTTCAGCCTGGGCAACAAGGTGAAACCCCGTCTCTACCAAACAAAAAATACAAAACTCAGCCAGGCGTGGTGCATACAGCTGTAATCCTAGCTACTCAGGAAGCTTAAGCAGGAGGCTCAATTGAGCCTGGGAGCTTGAGGCTGTAGTAAGCCATAATCACACCACACCAAAATGCACTCTGGGTGACAAAGCATGATCCTATCCCCTCCCTGCCATCCATACATTAAAAAAAGGCCCAGGCGCAATGGCTCATACCTGTAATCCCAGCACTTTGGGAGGCGAAGGTTTGAGCTCAAGAGTTCGAGACCAGCTTTGGCAACACAGAAAAACTGTTTCTACAAAAAAAAAATACAAAACTTAGACAGGTGTGGTGGTGGGCACCTGTGGTCCTAGTTACTCAGGGGGCTGAGGTGGGAGGATCATTTGAATCCAGGAGGTGGAGGTTGCAGTGAGCCGACATCACACCACTGCACTCCTGTCTGGGAGACAGGGTGAGATACTGTCTCAAAAAAAAAAAAAAAAAACAAGTCCAGGCATGGTGGCTCACACTTGTAATCCCAGCACTTTGGGAGGCCAAGGCGGGCAGATCATCTGAGGTCAGGAGTTTTAGAGCCCCCTGCCCAACATGGTAAAACCCCATCTCTACTAAAAATACAAAAATTAGCCAGATGTGGTGGCATGTGTACCTGTAACCCCAGCTACTTGGGAGGCTGAGGCAGGAGAATCACTTGAACCCGTGAGGTGGAAGTTGCAGTGAGCCAAGATGGCACCACTGCATTCCAGCCCCGGGGACAAGAGCAAGACTTCATCTCAAAAAAAAAAAAGTGAATCCTAATATGAACTATGGCTTTAAAGGGATAATGAAGGTTCACTGATTCTAGCAAGTGCATTACCTTGGTGCACGATGTTAATAGTGGGGGAGGCTGTGCAGGTTGTATGTGTATGGAGGGGGATGATATACAGGAACTCTCTGTACTTTCTGCTAAATTTTGCTGTGAACCTAAAATTGCTTTAAAAACGAGTCTATCAAAAAATTAAAAAATAAATATTGCATGGCACAGTGGCTCACACCTGTAATCCCACCACTTGGGAGGCCAAGGTTGGCGGGTCACCTGAGCCCAGGAGTTCAAGACCAGCCTGACCAACATGGTGAAACCCCTTCTCTAGTAAAAATACAAAAATTAGCCAGGCATAGTGGCAGATGCCTTAATCACAGCTACTCAGGAGGCTGAGGCACAAGGATCACTTGAACCTGGAGGCAGAGGTTGCAGTGAGCCGAGATCGCACCATTGCACTGCAGCCTGGGTGACAGAGCAAGAGTCCATCTCTATCGATCCATCAATTAATCAATCAATGTCAGTGGTTCACATCCTTTGACCAAGCAATTTCCCAAGAAACATTTGCATGGGCAGTGCCCAAAGCACTGTTCATAATGGAAAAAAAAAAAGGAAGAAGTAGAAATAAAACCACACACACATTGGAAAGAATCCCAGTGCCTGTCAAAAGCAATTGGTTAAATAAATATGGTACACCCATACAATGAATGTCTGCTGGGTGGCTGCCTCGTTGTGTCTGTTTTTTGAGAATACCAGCAAAGTGAAAATAAGCAGATGCTAAAACAGTAGCTATGATTTAATCCTGTTTATATATTTTAAAATATGCTGGTAGGTGCCAGGCACAGTGGCTCATGCTTGTAATCCCAGCACTTTGGGAGGCTGAGGCAGGCTGATCACCTGAGGTCAGGAGTTCAAGACCAGCCTGGCCAACATGGTGAAACCTTGTCTCTACTAAAAATAAAAAATTAACCAGGCATGGTGGCACAGGCCTGTAATCTCAGCTACTCAGGAAGCTGAGACAGGAAAATGACTTGAACCCAGGAGGCAGATGTTGTAGCAGTGAGCCAAGATCACGCCACTGCACTCTAGCATGGGTGACAGAGCAAGACTCTGTCTCAAAAAAAAGAAAATGCTGGTAGGTGCATTGAAAAATACTTTGTGAGGCAGGGACTCCCCTGTAGCTGGACAATAGTGGTTATGTCTGAAGGGCAAGATTAGGGAAGAACTTTTGCCTCTGAGCAAGGGTTCTGCTGCCTACCAGAGGCCCAGAACAACACCTCACACCCCCATCATTCTGTCTGTCTCTGTCTCTCATTTAGGATTTTTTTTCTCTCTCTCTCTTTTTTTTTTTCAGACAGAGTCTTACTCTGTCATCCAGGCACCCAGGCTGGAGTGCAGTGGCATGATCTTAGCTCACTATAACCTCCACCTCCCAATTACAAGTGATTCTTATGCCTCAGCCTCCCGAGTAACTGGGATTACAGGACTGTGCCACCACATCCATCTAATTTTTTGTATTTTTAGTAGAGATGGGGTTTCGCCGTGTTCCTCAGGCTGGTTTGAACTCCTGATCTCAAGTAATTTGCCCACCTTGGCCTCCCAAAGTGCTGGGATTACAGGTATGAGCCAACACACCAACCCTTTTTTTCTCTTCCTTTTTCTTTTTTTTTTTTTTTTTGAGACAGAGTTTTGCTCTTGTTACCCAGGCTGGAGTGCAATGGCGCGATCTCGGCTCACTGCAACCTCCGCCTCCTGGGTTCAGGCGATTCTCCTGCCTCAGCCTCCTGAGTAGCTGGGATTACAGGCATGCGCCACCATGCCCAGCTAATTTTTTGTATTTTTAGTAGAGATGGGGTTTCACCATGTTGACCAAGATGGTCTCGATCTCTTGAGCTTGTGATCCACCTGCCTCGGCCTCCTAAAGTGCTGGGATTACAGACGTGAGCCACCGCGCCCGGCCCCTTTTTCTTTTATTAATATTATTATCTTCTTCAAGACAAGGTCTGGCTCTGCTGCTCAGGCTGAAGTGCAGTGGTGCAGTCTCAGCTCACTACAGCCTCTGCCTCCACTGCTCAAGCAATCCTCCCACCTCAGCCTCTGGAGCAGATGAGACTGCAGGCACACACCACCATGGCCAACTAACTTTTGTATTTTTTGTAGAGATGGGATTTCGCCACTTTGCCCAGGCAGGTCTTGAACTCATGAGATCAAGCAATCTGCCTATCGTGGCCTCCCAAAGTGCTGGGATTACAGGTGTGAGCCTTCACACCTGACCCTATTATTTTTTGAGATGGGGTCTTAGCATGTTGCCCACGCTGATCTTGAACGTGTGGGCTATGGCAATCCTCCTGCTGTGGCCTCCTAAAATACTGGGATTAGGCAGGAGGCACCGCACCAGGACTTTTTTCTTTTTTTGATAATGGGTCTTGCTTTATCACCCAGGCTGGTGTGCAGTAGTGTGATCACAGCTCACTGCAGCCTCAAACTCCTGGGCTCAGGTGATCCTCCTGACTCAGCCTCCCAGGTAGCTGCAACTACAGACATTTATCACCATGCCCAGCTAATTATTTTCCTTTTGTAGAGATGCGGTGGGGGGGGTCTCCCTATGTTGCCCTACTAGTCTCAAACTCCTAACCTCAAGTGATCCTCCCACCCTGGCCTCCAGAGTAGCTGGGACTATAGGTATGTACCGCCACTAATTTTTAAATTTTATGTAGAGATGGGCATCTTGCTTTGTTTCCCAGTCCTGGTCTTGAACCTCCTTGCTTCAAGCAATCCTCCTGCCTTGGCCTCCCAATGTGCTAGGATTGCAGGTGTTTCAGCCACTGAGCCTGGGCTTGCTCAGTGTTTTAATCTCAGTTCCTCTCTCTCTTCCCCTTCAATTTATTTTATTTTATTTTATTTTTGAGACAGAGACTCGCTCTGTTGCCCAGGCTGGAATGCAATGATGCAATCTCAGCTCACTGCAACTTCCGCCTCCTAGGTTCAAGTGAGTCTTCTGCCTCAGCCTCCTGACTAGTTGAGATGACAGGAATGTGCCACCAGGCCTGGCTAATTTTTGTATTTTTAGTAGAGATGGGGTTTGGTCAGGTTGGTATAAAACTCCCGACCTCAGGTGATCCACCCAAGTCAGCCTCCCAAAGTGCTGGGATTACAGGTGGGAGCCACTGCGCCCGTCCTCACTTTCAATTTCTTAATCAATATCTATTGCCCCACTATCTTATTCTCCCCTAGTCTCTCTCTCAGTCTTTTGCTCCTCTCTGCCCACTCCTAATCTTGGGCGTTCATGGATGGGGGTTCCTACACTCAGGTCAAGGCTCACACCTGGCGCAGGGATTCCCTAGACCTTTGTCACACTTGGAATCTGGAGCTTCCAGAGAGGCAGGGAAACCTCAGAAGCTCTCTTCCACCCAGGGCCACAGGCAGAGGCAGCCAGAAAGCCCTGTACCCCATAAGCCAGGGGCCAAATCCCTGGCCCTGCTGCTCCTGGTGGCAGAGCTCTGGATGTATGCTGCACAGTCTCAGCCACTCACCAGCGTCCAGAGGACATAGATGGTGAAGAGGGCAATGGTGAGGGCAATGAGACCCACGGCCTCCAGCTGGCTGTGGAGCCGGAGGTGGTCCTGGGCCCCACGCAGGCACAACCAGCCTGAGATGGCAGCCAGCGGCGTGATGAACAGGAAGCACACCATGTCGCAGCACAGCGTTCGCTTCTCCGTCCGTGGTCCAGGGTCCTTCAGCCACTGCACAGAGAGAGGATGGGGAGAGGGGGCAGGGAAGGGGCTGCTGAGGGTGAGGGATCAGGACCTCCAGGCCTGGGCCTCCCTCTGTCTTTTCCTTTTCTTTTTTTCTGAGACGTAGTCTCGCTCTGTTGCACCAGCTGGAGTACCACTGCACCTGTCATCCCAGCTAGTTGAGAGGCTGAGGCAGAGAATTGCTCGAACCCAGAGGGCAGAGGTTGCAACAAGCCTAGATCACAAAACTGCAACAGCTGGGGCAACAGAGCAAGAATCGGTCTCAAAAAAAAAAAAGAAAGAAAGAAAGAAAGAAAAGGGCAGGTGCAGTGGCTCATACCTGTAATTCCAGCACTTTGGGAGGCAGAAGCTGGTGGATCACTTGAGGTCAGGAGTTCAAAACCAGCCTGGCCAACATGGTGAAACTCCATCTCTACTAAAAATACAAAAAATTAGCTGGGTGTGGTGGTATGTGCCTGTAGTCCCAGCTACTCAGGAGGCTGAGGCAGGAGAATCACTTGAACCTGGGAGGCGGAGGTCGCAGTGAGCCGAGATTATACCACTACACTCCAGCCTGGACGAGAGTAAGACTCTTGTCTCAAAAAAAAGAAGAAGAAGAAGAAGAAAAGAAAACAAAGACTGAATCAAAACCAGGAGAGGGTAACGGGTTTGGGAGCTCTTAAACCCCAGGCCACACCCCATCAGCAGACCCACCTGGTGGACAGGGTGGTAGGGAGGTCTGCCCTAGGGAGAAGCTGCTTCCCCAGCCCACAAGATTCCCCAGGTCAGCTCCTGCCTTTGGCCCCCATGCCTGCCCTCTCCCTGCTGCCCACCGAAGTCTCAGACTCTTAAGGGTACCTCTGTGAGGGGTCGAGGCCGTTTCTCCACTGCAAACTCCGTGTGGCACAGCTCACAGTAGCTAGTGTTGGATGATGAAAGCCACCTCTCCAGACAGCTCTTGTGCACAGCGCCCAGCGTGCCAGTGCAGCCACATGGGGACAGCAAGCACTCCCCATTTGCTCCCTCATGGCAGATCCGGCAGAAGGGACCGTCGCTGGACATGGAGACAGGACCCGTGAGCAAAGATTGGGCTTTCTGTCTATACCTGCTTCGCTACCCACTGGATCACAAGCTCGCCGTTACCCCATGCTGCCACTTACTGAACTCCTACTCATTCTTCAGTGTCCAGCTCCAAATATCCTCCTCTTTCAGAAGGCGACACAGGGGAAGTAACCTTGCAAAGCCTTCCCAGTGATGTGTTCCCTTCCCACGGATCCTGCAGCACCCTATCAGACCCAGGATGGGTATCTCTTATACCCACTCCTCAATGTCCTCTCCAAATTTTTCTAAAATACTACCCTGATTATCCCGCACAGCTTCCCCACCCTCAACTCTTCTTTTTTTTTTGAGATGGAGTTTCGCTCTTGTTACCCAGGCTGGAGTGCAATGGCACGATCTCAGCTCACCGCAACCTCCGCCTCCTGGGTTCAGGCAATTCTCCTTCCTCAGCCTTCTGAGTAGCTGGGATTACAGGCACGCGCCACCACACCCGGCGAATTTTTGTATTTTTAGTAGAAACAGGGTTTCACCATGTTGGCCAGGCTGGTCTTGATCTCTTGACCACCCACCTCGGCCTCCCAAAGTACTGGGATTACAGGCATGAGCCACCACGCCCCGCACCCTCAACTCTTAATCCTCAAGGACCTGCTGGGTAAGGTGGCTCATGCCTGTAATCCCAGTACTTTGGGAGGCTGAGGCGGGCATATCACTTGAGGTCAGGAATTGAAGACCAGCCTGGCCAACATGGTGAAACCCTGTTTCTACTAAAAATACAAAAATTCGCCGGGTGTGGTGGTGGGTGTCTGTAATCCCAGCAACTGGGGAGGCTGAGGTAGGAGAATCACTTGAACCCGGGAGGCAGAGGTTGCAGTGAGCCAAGATTGTGCCACTGGACGACAGACTAAGACTCCGTCTCAGAAAAAAAAAAAAAAAAAAAAAAAAAAAGTCCTCAAGGACTAGGGCAGAGCAGACAACACTCCTGATGACCTCAGGCCTCAGGCTTGACCAGTCAGAACACCAGGCCAAGTGCAATAGCTCATGCCTGTAATTCCAGCACTTTGGAAGGCTGAAGTGGGAGGATCACTTGAGCCCAAGAGTTCAAGGCCAGTGTGGGCAACATAGTGAGATCGCATCTCTACAAAAAAAAAAATGTTTTAAGACTTAGCTGGGCATAGTGTCACATGTCTGTGGTCCCAGCTACTTAGAAGGCTGAGGCAGGAGGATCACTTATGCCCAGGAGTTCAAAGCTCCAATGAGCCACAATGGTACCACTGCACTCCAGCTTGGACAACAGAGTGAGACCATTGGAAAAAGAAAAAAGAACACCATGCACCCCTGCTCATGGTGACCAACTCAGGCTTGTATGATATAATCAGCCACCAATAAAATCCTTTCCTAAAATTCTTTATTTTCCCCTAAACTCCATAACTGTCAGCCACAAGGTTGACATAAGCCTGGAGCTGCTGGCAGCTGCCTAGTCTCTGCCTGTGAATGATGCCAGCACAGAGAAGAGCAGAGCCAAGAGACAGGGAAAGGTAGATTCTTAAGGACATCATCAGAGGCCCCTGGATCTAACCACACCTGAAGCCCATGCTGCTTGAGAAACCTGTGCATCCAGAGAGAAGTGCTCACCTGCTCCTCTGCCCTTGTGGGGGGAAACAGATATAAAAAGCATTTGCAGAAAGCTGCCTTGGAAAAGTCTCCAGCCCTGGCCCAGTCTCTGGGGATGCTAGGTCCTTCCCGTGGCAGCTCAGGAGGCAAGCAGTGTGGCCCGGAGGCCGTCCACTGTTTCCCGAACATTTCTGGCCAGAAGGCAGACTGTGAGGTTGCACAAAGAAGAGCTATTTTCTGGCAATACCAGTTTCCTCTCAGAGACTGTATTCTTTTCTTTCTTTCCTTTTTTTTTTTTTTTTTTTGAGTCATGCAGGCTGGGTGCAGTGAGTGGTATGATCTCAGCTCACTGCAACCTCTGCCTCCTGGGTTCAAGTAATTCTCCTGCCTCAGCCTCCCGACTTGGGACAACACACACATGCCACCATGCTTGGCTAATTTTTGTATTTTTAGTAGACGGGGTTTCACCATGTTAGTCAGGCTGGTCTTGAACTCCTGACCTCAAATGATCCACCTGCCTCAGCCTCCCAAAGTGCTGGGATTATAGGCGTGAGCCATCACGGCAGGCCTTCTTTTCCTTTTTGAGACAAGGTCTAGCTCTGCTGCGCATGCTATAGTGTAGTGGTGCAATCACAGCTCACTGTAGACTCAAACTCCCTGGCTCATGTGAACCTCCTGCCTCAGCCTCCCAAGTAGCTGGGACTACAGGCAGCGCCACCCTACGCAGCTCATGTTTTTAAATATTATCTAGAGAGCAGGGGTCTCTCTATGTTGACCAGGCTGGCCTAGAACTCCTAGGCTCAAGCGATCCTTCAGTGTGGGATTATAAGAATGAGTCACCATGCCTGCCTGGAAATGACTGTTTTCTTTTTTCCTTTCTTTTCTTTTTGAGACAGTATCTCACTCTGTTGCCCAGGCTGGAGGGCAGAGGTGTGACCTTGGCTTACTGCAACCTCTGCTGCCTAGATGCAAGCGATTCTCTTGCCTCAGCCTCCCAGGTAGCTGGGACTACAGGCATGCGCCACTGTGCCCGGCTAACTTTTGTATTCTTAGTAGAGACAGTGTTTCACCATGTTGGCCAGGCTGGTCTTGAACTCCTGACCTCATGATCCACCCGCCTTGGCCTCCCAAAGTGCTGGGATTACAGACATGAGCCACTGTGCCTGGCCGGAAATGACTGTTTTCTATCCTTTTCTCAGATTCTCATGCTGTAGGTGGGGTTGGGCTGCTTTGAAAAGAGCACAACAGGCTGCTCATGTCAGCTCTCTCAACAGTCCTGGACTGGACTATTATTTCCTCCTGCAAAGGCAAAAGAACGTGCCTGCCTGCCTCCTTTCTAAACCCACACCCTGATCCCATCCTCCCCCAAGTATACTCACAAACAACGTTAACAGAAAAGGAGCCCCTGCTACAGAAAACAACTCAGGGAAACAGAAGTGATGAGAATCTTGAGGAAGAACCATGTCAGTTTGGAGCTTGTTCTGGAAAACTCTGAAAAAGTTTGGGAAGAGCAAATTCAGAGAAGAGGCTGGGCGTGGTGGCTCATGCCTGTAATCCCAACATTTTGGGAGGCTGAGGTGGGTAGATCATCTGAGGTCAGGAGTTCAAGATCAGCCTGACCAACGTGGTGAAACCCCATCTCTACTAAAAAAATACAAAAATTAGCTGAGCATGGTGGCAGGTGCCTGTAGTCCAAGCTACTCCCGAGACTGAGGCAAGAGAAATGCTTGAACCCAGGAGGCAGAGGTTGTAGTGAGCCAGATCACACCACTGTACTCCAGCCTAGGAGACAAAGTGAGATTCTGTCTCAAAAAAAAAAAAAAAAGGCTGGGTACAGTGGCTCACACCTGTAATCCTAGCACTTTGGGAGGATGAGGTGGGCAAATCATTTGAGGTCAGGAGTTCAAAACCAGCTTGACCAATATGATGAAACCCCATCTCTACTAAAAATACAAAAATCAGCTGGGTGTGATGTCTGATGCCTGTAGTCCCGGCTACTAGGGATGTTGAGGCAGGAGAATCACTTGAACCCAAGAGGCGGAGGTTGCAGTGAGCCGAGATCGCACCACTGTACTCCAGCCTGAGTGACAGAGTAAGACTTTCTCCAAAAAAAATTAAAAAAAGAGAGGATGTTTGTTGGCTCTTTACTAGTGAGCGTAGGGGAAAAAAAAAGAGAGGGTGGGCATGGTGGTTCACACCTGTAATCCCAGCATTGTGGGAGGCTGAGGTGGGCAGATCATCTGAGGTCAAAAGTTCGAGACCAGCCTGGTCAATGGTGAAACCCGTCTCTAAAAGAAGTACAAAAATTAGCCAGGCGTGGTGGCGGGCACCTGTAATCCCAGCTACTCAGGAGGCTGAGACAGGAGAATTGCTTGAATCTGGGAGGTGGAGGTTGCAATGAGCAGAGATTTCACCACTGAACTCCAGCCTGGGCAACAAAGTGAGACTCTGTCTCAAAAAAAAAAAAAAAAAAATACACTGGTGAAATAACTTGTCACAGGTCACTGTGGGAGAGAAGAAGGTGTCCACTCAGGGTCAGAGCCCAGGCACTGAGCCATAGGCTGCACTCCTGACCACCCCCTATACTGCCTCCCAAAAGTGTGAGTTACTTGCCAACATTTGAACTTCAGATTTCACATAATAATCTGGAATTTCAGCTTTTCCTAAAGAATCAGACCTGGCCAGAGCTAGGCCTCTGTTTCTGCAAGGCAATAACTGTGTCTCTTTCTCTATTTACCAATTTGGCCCTCTTTGATGGTTGGACTTTGGATCCCAGGCTGCGAGAAAGTCACTGGGCCCAGAGAGAAAAGGCAGCCAAGGCCAGGACATCCATGTGGTCACCACTCACCTCGGTGTGTCCAAGGCACGGATGACAGTGGAGAGGAGTCGGCCATCCCTTGAAGTCACTTGTGCCACATAATGGGGTGGACCAAGGCCTGTGGCCTCCACGATCTTGGAGAAAGCAGGGTTGCCAGAGCAGTCACACAGGGAGCCAGGAAGGTGGCAGCAGTCACCTGTCGTCATGGCCACGGGGAGCCCCGTATCCTCAGGGCCCGAGGCCCATGGTCACAGGAGCCTGGGAAGAGGCCAGTACGGAGGTTAGGGGCAAGATTAGTGGGCCTGACAGACTAAGGTTTGAGTCCCCTCTTGTCAAGACTGCAGGGACCACTAGACCATTTACATCTCTGAGCCTCAGTTTGCATGATCTGTAAAATAGGCCAGTGAAGAATCAGATGACGCATGAGATGACGCATGTAACTCAGCACAAGTAAAGCTAGGCTTGGCCAGGTGTGGTGGCTCACGTCTATAATCCCAGTGCTTTGGAAGCCAAGACAGGAGGATTGCTTGATCCTCAGGAGTTTGAGACCAGCCTGGGCAACACATCAAGACTCTATCTCTACAGAAAAAATAAGAAAATTAGGCTGGAAGCAGTGGCTCACAACTGTAATCCCAGCACTTTGGATTCAAGACAATCTGCCCACCTCAGATTGCCTGAGCTCAGGAGATTGAGAGCAGCCTGGGCAACATGGTGAAACTCTGGCTCTACAAAAGAATAAAATAAAAATTAGCCAGGCATGGTAGCACAGGGCTATAGTCCCAGCGACTCATGAGGCTGATGTAGGAGGATGACTTGAGCCCAGGAGTTTGCGGCCTCAATGAGCTATGATGGTGCTACTGAACTCCACCCTGTGCCACAGAGTGAGACCTTGTATCTAAAAAAGAGAAGACAGGCTGGGTGCAGTGGCTGACACCTGTAATCCCAGCACTTTGGGTGGCCAAAGAGGGCAGATCATGAGGTCAAGAGATCGAGGCCATCCTGGCTAACATGGTGAAACCCCGTCTCTTTTTTTTTTTTTTTCAATAGAGGCAGGGTTTCACCACGTTGGCTGGGCTGGTCTCGAACTCCTGACCTCAGGTGATCCGCCTGCCTTGGCCTCCCAAAATTGTGGGATTACAGGCATGAGCCACCACGCCAGGTGAAAGCCCATCTCTACTAAAAATATAAAAATTAGTTGCATGTGGTGGTGTGCACCTGTAGTCCCAGCTACTCAGAGGCTGAGGCAGGAAATCACTTGATCCTGGGAGGTGGAAATTGCAGTGAGCTGAGATCATGCCACCGCACTCTCCATCCTGGGCAACAGAGTGAGACTCCATCTCAAAAAAAAAGAGAAGACATGAAAAGCTAGGCCTGCTCATACCCTCAAAGCCTCCAGGGCTAGGACCATCTTTTAACTAATATCATCTTTCCAGATACGGTATCAGCACCAGTTCTTTTTTTCTTTTCTATTTTTTGCTTTGAGACAAGAGTCTTGCTCTGTCGCCCAGGCTGGAGTGCAGTGGCACGATCTTGTCTCACTGCAACCTCTGCCTCCCAGTATCAAGAGACTCTCCTCCCTCAGCTTCCCAAGTACCTGGGATTGCAGATACCTTCCGTCACACCCAGCTAACTTTTGTATTTTCAGTAGAGACGGGGTTTCATCATGTTGGCCAGGCTGGTCTTGAACTCTGACCTCAGGTGATCCACCCATCTCAGCCTCCCAAAGTGCTGGGATTACAGGCTTGAGCCATTGCAGCTGGTCAAGAATTTCACTGAAGAAACAAGGGCCCTTTCTGGAGACCTCCTTGAAGCCAACACGGGTGCCCTGAAGCCAAGGATCTCTGTCCCCTGCTTGTCTAACCCCAAAGAGCTACAACATCCAGAGCCACAGCAACTCCTAAAGTGTTCAGAAAGCCCAAGCAAGAGAGGCAGTCAAGTACTCACTGAAGTACTCCCACCCCCACCCCAAGTCCACTTTTAAACTGCCAATCAAAACCCAAACCCTAGGCCAGGTGCAGCTGTTCATACCTGTAATCCCAACGCTTTGGGAGGTCCAAGCAGGAGAGGATCACTTGAGACTAGGAGTTTGAGACCAGCTAGAGCAACACAGAAAGATCCTAATTCTATGCAGGTTTTTTTTTTTTTTTAATTAGCCAAGCATGGTGGTGCAAGCCAATAGTCCCAGCTACTTGGGAGGCTGAGGCGGGAGGACGTCCAAGGCTATAATGAGCTATGTCACACCACTGCACTCCAGCCTGGGTGACAGAGCAAGACCCAGTCTCTAAAACAAAACAAAAGAAAGCAAAAAAAAAAAAAAAAAAAAAAAAAAAACTGAGACCCAAAGTGGGAAGGTGAGAGCACTTATTGACTAACTGTAGCACTAGGACAGTCCACCGACGGATAAATGGCCTCTAGACAGCTCAGCCAGCAGCCTGCCTGGCTCCACATGTTCTTCTGAGCATCACAGCCGGGCCCCTGCAGGCCAGATAAGCAAGTATTGCCCAAAGGCAGGGGCCCAAGAGGAAGGCTGCAGGACTGAGATAACACACACAAGGCAGTGGCCGGGCCTGACACCGGTGCCTGCTGCTGTCCCTCCCAAGTCCCTGCAACCAGAACCTTCAGCTCAGAGGCCAGAAGGGAAGCTGCTGGGCTCTTTACGGGAAGAAGGGCAGAGGAGAGTCCCTTCCTCCAGTCCTGGTCCCTCTGAGGATAGGTCTTTACATTTCTTTTTCCTTTTTTAAGACAGGGTCTTGGCCAGGCATAGTGGCTCACTCCCATAATCCCAGCACTTTGGGAGGCTGAGGTGGGTGGATCACCTGAGGTCAGGAGTTTGAGACCAGCCTGGATAACATAGCAAAACCCCATCTCTGTTAGAAGTACAAATATTAGTCAGGTGTGGTGGTGGGCACCTGTAATCCCAGGCACTTGGGTGTCTGAGGCAGGAGAATCACTTGAACCCAAGAGGCAGAGTTTGCAGTGAGTCAAGATGTCACAAAGCCAGGGAACTCCAGCTTGGGCAACAAAGCAAGACTCCATTGCAAAAAAAAAACAAAAACAAAAAGAGAAGGTATCACTCTGTAGCCCAGGCTGGAGGGCAGTGTTGTGATCTCAGCTCACTATAACCTCAGCCTCCCGGGTTCAAGAGAGTCTCCTGCTTCAGCCTCTTGAATAGCTGGGATTACAGCTGTGCATCACCACACCCAGCTAATTTTTTTTTTTTTTTTTTTGAGATGGAGTCTTGCTCTGTTGCTCAGACTGGAAGGCAGTGGTGTGATATTGGCTCACCGCAACCTCTGCCTCCTGGGTTCAAGCAATTCTCCTGCCTTAGCATCCTGAGTAGCTGGGATTACAGGCACATGCCACAATAACCGGCTAATTCTTTTTTTTCTTTTTTGAGGCAGAGAGTTACTCTGTCACCCAGGCTGGAGTGCAGTGGCGCAATTTCAGCTCACTACAACCTCTGCCTCCTGGGTTCAAGCGATTCTCCTGCCTCAGCCTCCTGAGTAGCTGGGACTACAGGTGCCCGCCACTAAACCTAGCGAATTTTTGTATTTTTAGTAGAGATAGGGTTTCACCATGTCGGCCAGGCTGGTCTCAAACTCCTGACCTTGTGATCCACCTGCCTCAGCCTCCCAAAGTGCTGGGATTACAAGCGTGAGCCTCCATGCCTGGCCAATTCTTTTTGTATTTTTAGTACAGACGGGGTTTCATCATGTTGGCCAGGCTGGTCTCGAACTCTTGACCTCAAGTAATCTGCCCGCCTTGGCCTCTCAAAGTGCTGGGATTACAGGCATGAGCCACTACCCCTGGCCCATCTTTACATTTTTGCAAATAACTGGACATTATAGGAACTATCCCAGCTCCTGTATATAATGTTCTAATGTTTCTTCTATCAGGAAGAAAAAGAACTACACAGGTAAATCTGCTAATGCAAGGCCTGAAAACCACCAAAATTGTACTAGTAGCTTCTATCTATTAAGAACTGAGGGCCGGGCATGGTGGCTCACGTCTGTAATCCCAACACTTTTCGAGGCCGAGGCAGGCAGATCATAAGGTCAGGAGATAGAGACCACCCTGGCTAACATGGTGAAACCCTGTCTCTGCTATAAATACAAAAAGCCGGGTTTGGTGGCGTGCACCTGCAGTCCCAGCTACTGGGGAGGCTGAGGCAGGAGAATTGCCTGAACCCGAGAGGTAGAGGTTGCAGTGAGCTGAGATTGTGCCACTGCATTCTAACCTGGGCGACAGAGTGAGATGCAGTCTCCAAAAAAAAGAAAAAAAGAACCGAATACTGTGCCAAGAAATCTCCATGCATAGTCATCATCTTACTGAACTTGAGACAGTTTTTATAAGTGTCTCCTTCAAAGGTCACCTTCCTGGGGAAGCCTTCTCTGACAATGCTGTCTGGGAACCCGGTGCATTGGCTCACACCTATTAATCCCAAAGCTTTGGGAGGCTGAGGTGGGAGGACTGATTGAGCCCAGGAGTTTGAGAGAAGCCTGGGCAGCATACCAAAACCCCGTCTTTACAAAAAATACAAAAATGAGCCGGGCATGGTGGTGTGCACCTGTAATCCCAGCAATTTAGGAGGCTCAGGTGGGAGAATCACTTGAGCCCAGGAGATTGAGGCTACAGTGAGTGATGATTGCACCACTGCACTCCAGCCTGGACCACAGAGCAACACCCTGTCTCAATCACTCAATCAATCATGATTGGAGTCCACATGATTCTCCTCGTGGTATGTGTCCCTGTCTGAAATATTCTACTCATTAATCTACGTATTTAAACATGTCTGTCATGCCATCCTACAGAGAATTCTATGAAAAGGAGACCCTATCAGATTGCCTCCTGCTGTCCCTAGAACCTAGCCCTGTGTCTAGCCCAGAGCTGCTGTATTTGTGGTTGCTGCTGCAGTCATTTCTCTTTTCTTAATTTTTTTGAGATGGAGTTTCACTCTGTTGCCCTGGGCTGGAGTAAAATTGTGCGATCTTGGCTCACTGCAACCTCTACCTCCCGGGTTCAAGGGGTTCTCCTGCCTCAGCCCCCTGAGTAGCTGGGATTACAGGCACTCACCACCACACCCGGCTAATTTTTGTATTTTTATTTTATTTATTTATTTATTGCAAGAAGGAGTCTCGCTCTGTTGCCCAGGCTGTAGTACAGTGGCACCATCTCAGCTCACTGCAACCTCCACCTCCTGGGTTCAAGCAATTATTCTGCCTCAGCCTCCCTACAGGTGCATGCCACCATGCCCAGCTAATTTTTGTATTTTTATAGAGATGGGATTTCACCATATGGGCCAGGCTGGTCTTGAACTCCTGACCTTGTGATCTACCAGCCTCAGCCTCCCAAAGTGCTGGGATTATAGGTGTGAGCCACCTCACCCAGCCCATTTATTTATTTTTTGAGATGGAGTTTTGCTTTTGTTGCCCAGGCTGGAGTATAATGGTGCAATCTTGGCTCACCGCAGCCTCTGCCTCCCAGGTTCCAGTGAGTCTCCTGCCTTAGCCTCCCGAGTAACTGGGATTACACCTGACCACCACACCCTGCTAATTTTTGTATTTTTAGTAGAGACGGGGTTTTTACCATGTTACCAGGCCAGGCTGGTCTCAAATTCCTGACCTCATAATCTGCCCTTCTCAGCCTCCCAAAGTGCAGGGATTACAGGCGTAAACCACTGCGCCCAGCCAAGCTGCAGTCATTTTTCAATCCTCAATCGGTATAAGAACAGTGTGGGAGAGCCACATCTCTCGATCCTCCAATCCTGGTCGGCCAGCCCCTGTGGTGGGCATTAGAAATGTTTAGATGCTAGAAGTCCACGCAAACCACAGATGCCCAGGCCTGGAAGAGGCCAAACTTGAGGCTGGACACAAAGAGAGGGTGACTGCAGGTTGGACTCAACTCCGGGGCTGCTGGAATGGGAAAGTGAGCTGATGCCTCCAGCACAACGTGGCCACTACCCAGGAGATTTCTTTATTTCTTTTGCCTTTTTTTTTCTTTTTTCTTTTTGGTGAGGACAGAGTTTCACTCTTGTTGCCCAGGGTAGAGTGCAATGGCACGATCTCAGCTCCTCAGCTTCAAGCGATTCTTCTGTCTCAGCCTCCAGAGTAGCTGGGATTACAGGTGCCCACCACTACGCCCAGCTAATTTTTTGTATTTTTAGTAGAGACAGGGTTTCACCATGCTGGCCAGGCTGGCCTCAAACTCCTGACCCCACCTGCCTCGGCCTTCCAAAGTGCTGAGGTTATAGGCTTGAATCACTGTGTGCCTGGCCTATTTCTTTTCTTTCGTCTGTTTTTTTGTTTTTGAGGCGGGGTCTCACTCTGTCACCCACAAGGCTGGAGGGCAGTGGAGCAATCACAGCTCTACCACCCCAGTTCAGGTGATCCTACCACCTCAGCTTCCTAAGTAGCTCTGCACACCACCAAGCCCTGCTAATTTTTATAGAGATGGTGTTTTGCCATGTTTTGCCCAGGCTGGTCCTGAACTCCTGGGTTCCAGTGATCTGCCGGCCTCAGCCTCACAAAATATTGGGATTACAGGCATGAGCCACCACTCCCAGCCTGGAGATAGATCGCATTGAGTCTTCACAACAAACCAATAATTATACCCTATAATGTGGGGAGAGGCTGAGGCTCAGAGAGAGGCACCTATTTCCCCACAATCAGACAGCTAGGAATGGGTGGTATCAGAATTCAAACTTAAAACACTCCAGGGAGTGGGTCTGGACCTCAAGAGACCTTGATTCTTTAACTCCTGGCTCTCCTGGCTCTGCCACCGATGCTGGGTATCCTGGTTCAAGTCACTTTGCTTCTCTGGGCCTCATTCTAATGATGGAGCTAGTGGACTGTGTTTGTGGAGGGGTCTACTGAGAAGAAGCCTCCAGGCTGAATTCATCAAGTAATTCATCCTTGGCTAGGCTTGTTTGGGGTGACACTGAGGCCCCCACCCCAGTCTTTTTCATACCTGCCCAGCCTCCTTTTCCTGAAGGTAGGAAACAGAGGGCCCTAAAACTTCCTGCAGTGTGATCTCAGACAGCTGTTTTACTCTCTCAGCCGCAGTATTCTCATCTATAAAATGGGCGTTATAGGCTGGGTGCAGTGGCTCACAGCTGTAATCCCAGCAGGTTTGGGAGCTCGTCGAAGGTGGATCATTTGAGGCCAGGAGTTTGAGACCAGCCTGGCCAACATGATGAAACCCTGTCTTGGCTAAAAAGACAAAAATTAGCTGGGCATGATGGTAGGCGCCTGTAATCTCAGCTACTTGGGAGGCTAAGGCGGGAGAATCGCTGGAACCTGGGAGGCAGATGTTGCAGTGAGCTGTAATCGTGCCACTGCCTGGGCAACAGAGAGGTTCCATCTAAAAAAAAAAAAAAAAAAAAAAAAACAGGAGGAAGGAGGCTGGGTGCAGTGGCTCATGCCTGTAATCCCAGCACTTTGGGAGGCTGAGGCAAGTGAATCACTTGACATCAGGAGTTCAAGACCAGCCTGGCCAATATGTCAAAACCCCGTCTCTACTAAAAATACAAACATTTGCTGGGCATGGTGGTGCCTGCCTGAAATCCCCGCCAATTGGGAGGCTGAAACAGGAGAATCGCTTGAACTTGGGAGGTGAAGGTTGCAGTGAGCCAAGATTGCACCACTGCACTCCAGCCTGGGTGACAAAGTAAGACTCTGTTCCAAAAACTTTTTTAAAAAGAGGGGGCATCATAATGATATGTAGTTCATAATACTAGCTCTTTATTTTTTCTTTTAAATGGAGTCCTGCTCTGTTCACAAGGCTGGAGTGCAGTGGCGTGATCTCGTCTCACTGCAATCTCCGCCTCCCAGTATTAAGTGATTCTCCTGCCTCAGCCTCCTGAGTAGCTGGGATTACAGGGCTGCACCACTGCACCTGGCTAATTTTTGTTTTAGTAGAGACGGGGTTTCGCCATGTTGGTCAGGCTGGTCTTGAACTCCTGATCTTGTGATCTGCCCACCTTGGTCTCCCAAAGTGCTGGAATTAGAAGTGTGAGCCACCTCGCCCGGCCAATATTAGCTTTTATTCTAACAACTATGATCAGTTTACAGAGCTGTTGATGAGAGGTCACACAATCAGTAAGTGCTCAATAAAAGCTCACTATTAATATTTTTTAGGGTAAATGTGGAGGCTGTCATTGCATTCATTTCTATTCCCTCACCATAGAGAGGCTCTTGTGCATCCTTCAGTTCTTTTAGGCCTGCATGAGAAGGGAGGTTCCAATCCCAGCTCTACTCCTTATGTGCTGTGTGGCCCTAGGCAAGACACTTAACCTCTCTGAGCCTGGACTCTCTCACCTGTATTAGAGGGGACATTTCTAGTGCTTCCACCTAGTCAGTATGGTTTCAAAAGAACTGAATGAGCTCATCATACCCATTCTGACTACCCTGTTTTGAGCACCGACACAGCACAGGGCATCCTGTTTGAAGATCTTTGTGCAAAGTGGCTGGCTCATTATATTCTAACTTACTATTTTGTAGGCAGAGCCACTCTGAGAAGAAGGTTGGGGAAGGGCATTGGCCACTTGGTAGTTGCCTACTGTGTGCCAAGCGCTCTCTGCACCAGCCAACCTTCTGAATCCTCCCAGAAGCCCTATGAGGTTGATAATGGGATGACCCGGTTTTACAGGTGGGGAAACCAAGGCTCGAAGAGGCGCCTACTGTGTGCCGGACCCCGGGGACCTTCCACCGGCTTTGACAAGGGAACTGGGGTCCCCGCGTCCCCAAGAAAGCTGTGGCCAAGGGATCCAGCCCAGCCGTCCCTCCCGGGTACCGAGCTCCGGCCTCGAACCCGGGGCCGGCGCGCGGACTGGCGTCCTCCGGCCCTACCTGCAGGCCCGTGCCTACCTGATCCGCGGCCGGGCCGGGCGGCCACACAGGCCCCTCCGTTTGCCCCGGCCCGGGTCCCGGCCCGGCCCGGCACGTCGGCGCCACTAGGTCCGCTCCGGCCGGCACCTGCGTCCGGGCACCGCCCGCCGAGCCGACAGCTCCGCGGGCCAATAGCGACCGCCTTTCGCCCGCACTTGCCAATCGCCATGCACGTCCCGCCCCGAGAGGCGGGGCCGGAGGCGACGGGGGACGCCCTGGGCCGCAGAGGCCCAGCTGCGCCGCTGCTGCGGGCCCCGCCCCTGCCGCGTCTTGGCTCCGCCCACAGCACTGGCCCCGCCCCCTCCCCGCCCCAGGCGCCAGGGGTGCTGCTGCGCCACCTGCAGACCGCCGGCGTTCTCTAATCAATAAACCCGCAGCAGAATTCAACTTTTTTTTTTAGACTGGCCGGGCGCAGTAATCCCAGCACTCTGGGAGGCCGAGACGGATCACTGGAGCCCAGAAGATGGGGACCAGTTTGGACAACATAGTGAGATTAATTTGAGATCCCGTCTCTACAAACAATTTAAAAGTGGTGGGCGGATGGCCTGAGGTCAGGGGTTCAAGACCAGCCTGGCCAACATGGTGAAATCCCGTCTCTACTAAAAATACAAAAATTAGCCAATGCGGTGGCAGGCGCCTGTAATTCCAGCTACTCGGGAGGCTGAAGCAGGAGAATCGCTTGAACCCAGGTGGCAGAGGTTGCAGCAAGCCGAGATCGTGCCACTGCACTCCAGCCTAGACAACAGAGTAAGACTGTCTCAAAATCCAAAAATTTACCAGTAAGTTAGCCAACCATGGTGGCGCGGGACTGTAGTCCCAGCTGCTCAGGAGGCTGAGGCAAGAGGATCACCTGAGCCCAGGAGTTCAAGGCCAGCCTCGGCAACATAGCAAACTCACCTCCCCACATCTCTAAGACATATCGATTTTTCTAAAAAAGACTGCACTATATATTTTCTAAGTATAAGCACACTTTTGCACATAATCACAGTATAACATTCAAAATCAGAAAATTAATGTTCATCTAATATTATGATGTAATTCCCAGAACCCATTCAAAGGCTGGGCATAGTGACTCATGCCTGTAATCTCAGCATTTGGATCACTTGAGGTTAGGGGTTTGAGACCAGCCTGGCCAACATGGAGAAACCGTCTCTACTAAAAAAACGAAAAAAAAATTAGCTGGGTTTGGTGGCGAGCACCTGTAATTCCAGCTACTCATAAGGCCAAGGCAGGAGAATCACTTGAACCTGCGAGGCCGAGGTTGCAGTGAGCAGAGATCTTGCCATTGCACGCTAGCCTGGGCAACAGAGCCCAGGCTCCATCTCAAAAAAAAAAAAAAAAAAAAAGTTTTCAATAAAGTCCTTTAAAAATCTAAAATCCAGACCAGGCACAGTGACTCATGTCTGTAATCCCAGCTCATTGGGAGCCCAAGGCAGGAAGGTCTCTGGGGTCCAGGAATGTGAGATCAGCCTGGGCAACATAGTGAAACCCCATCTCTACAAAGTAAAATAAAAATATTAGCCAGGTGTGGTGGCATGCTCCAGTGGTCCTAGCTACTTGGGAGGCTGAGGTGTGAGGACCATTTGAGCCCAGGAGTTCTAGGCTGCAGTGACCCATGACCTCACCACTGCATTCCAGCCTGAGCAACAGAGCAAGATCCTGTGTCAAAAAAAAGAAGTCTCCTCCTCTCCCCTCTCCTTCCTTTCCTTAAAAAAGAATCCCAAATTCATCCCAAGATTCAGTGTTGTATTTTGCTGTTATGACTCTTTCTGGAACATTTTATCAATCTTACTTTCTCTCCATGACATCCATATTTTTCAGAAATTCCAGGCTAGTAATTTTTCAGAAAGCCCTCCCATTAGTATTTGTCTAATACTTACTCATGATTTTTCATCTGTGGCAGGAAACACAGAAGTGACATTGTGTTTTCAGGATGTATACAATGTTGATTTTGTCCACCACCCATTACCTAACTTGGTTGAAATGGTCTGCCAGTTTCTCCAATGTGAGTTAGTACGTTACACTTTGTTTGTTTTAATATTTTATTTATTTATTTTGAGAGGGAGTCTCATTTTGTCACCCAGGCTGGAGTGCAATGGCAAGATCTCAGCTCACTGCAACCTCTGCCTCCTGGTCCAAGTGATCCTTGTGCCTCAGCCTCCTGAGTATCTCTGGGAGTACAGACCGGCACCACCATGCGGGGCTAACTTTTGTATTTTTAGTAGAGATGGGGTTTTGCCATGTTGGCTGGGATGGTCTCAAACTCCTAACCTCAGGTGATCCACCTGCCTCTGCCTCCCAAAGTTCTGGGATTATAGGTGTAGTCCTAGCACTTTGAGCCTGGCTTTACACTTTGTTAATAAGTGCTTTCTGGGGAGATACTTTCTTTCTTTCTTTCTTTCTTTTTTTTTTTTTTTAGATGGAGTCTTGCTCAGCTGCCCAGGCTGAAGTGCAATGGCCCATTCTCGGTTCACTGCAACCTCCGCCTCTCGGATAGATTCAAGTGATTCTCCTTTCTCAGCCTCCAAAGTAGCTGGGATTACAGGTGCCTGCCACCACACCTGGCTAATTTTTTTGTATTTTTAGTAGAGACGGGTTTTCACCATGTTGGCCAGACTGGTCTCGAACTCCTGATCTCAGGCGACCTGCCTGCCTCAGCCTCCCAAAGCTCTGGGATTACAGGCATGAGCCACTGCCTGACTTTATACTTTGTTAATAACTGCTTTCTGAGGAGATACTTTGAAAGTAATTAAATAGCCTGTTTCTCAACACAGTCAGTTTCCAGCAACTTAATATCAAGTGGTGACCCTTGCCTGAATCAGTTATTATCATAATGGTTACCAAGTGATGACTTTCTAATCTCTTCTTGGAGCATTTCCTTACTAATTGGTTCAACAAGCTCTACTACACTGACTTGTCTCGTATTTTGCCTTGCCCCAGCCCTGGAATAAAACATTCCTTGAAAGAGCCATGGTTCATTTTAGTGGAGAATAATATTTATTTTATTTTATTATTATTATTTGAGATGGAGTCTCCATTACCCAGGCTGGAGTGCAGTGGCTCAATCTTGGCTCACTGTAACCTCCGCCACTTGGGTTTTAGTGATTATCCTGCCTCAGCCTCCTGAGTAGCTGGGACTACAGGTGCCTGCCATCATGCCCAGCTAATATTTTGTATTTTTAGTAGAGATAGGGTTTTACCATTTGGCCAGGCTGGTCTGCAACTCATGACCTCGTGATCCGCCCACCTCGGCCTCCCAAAGTGCTGGGATTACAGGCGTGAGCCACTGCGCTCGGCCTTAATTTGTAAATAATAAATAGAGATGGGCTTGCTATGTGGTCCAGGCTAGTTATGAGCTCCTGGGCTCAAACGATCCTCCCACCTGAGCCTCCCAAAGTGGTAGAATTACAGGCATGAGCCACTGTGTCTGGCAGATCATCTTATTTATTTGTTTGTTTATATTTGAGATGAAGTTTCACTCTGTCGCACGGGCTGGGGTGTAGTGTCAGGATCTTGGCTCACTGCAACTTCTGCCCCCTGGGTTCAAGCAATTCTCCTGCTTCAGCCACCCAAGTAGCTGGGATTACAGTCTTGCACCACCACATGTAAAGTGCGGGGATCAGGGATTCAAGTTTTTGCATTTTGAGTAGAGATGGGGTTTCACCATGTTGGCTAAGATGGTCTTGAATTCCTGATCCTACCACTTTGGGAGGCCGAGGTGGGCGGATCACCTGAGGTCGGGAGTTCGAGACCAGTCTGGCCAACATGGCAAAACTCCATCTCTACTAAAAATACAAAAATTACTCAGGCATGGTGGCACATGTCTGTAATCCCAGCTACTTGAAAGCTTGAAGAAGAATCACTTGAACTGGGAGTGCAGGTTGCAGTGAGCCTAGATCACGACACTGCACTCCAGTCTATGCAATGGAAGCCAGACTCCATCTCAAAAAAAAAAAAGACAGGGTCTTACTCTTGTCACCCAGGGTGGAGTACAGTGGCATGATCTTGACTCACTGCAACTTCTGCCTCCTGGATTCAAGCAATTCTCCCTGCCTCAGCCTCCCGGGCAGCTGGAATTACAGGTGCCTGCTACCACGACAGGCTACTTTTTGTATTTTTTAGTAAAGATGGAGTTTCACCATGTTGACCAGGCTGGTCTTGAACTCCTGACCTCAGGTGATCCACCCACCTCAGCCTCCCAAATTTCTGGGCTTACAGGCATTAGACACCATGTATGGTCCATAATAAAATACTTTTAAAATGTTGCTATACTTTGTCCCAGTCTCCATTCATTCATTCATTGTGATAGTGTCTACCTCTGTTGTCCAGGCTGTAATCACAGCTTACTGCAGCCTCCACCGCCCTAATTCAACTGATCTTCCCGTCTCTGCCTCCCAAGTAGATGCATGCCACCATGCCTGGCTAATTTTTGTAAATATGGGGTTTCACCATGTCGCCCGGGCTGGTCTCGTATTCCTGGGCTCAGGCAATCTGCCCACCTTAGTCTCCCAAAGTTCTGGAATTACAGGCGTGAGCCATACTCTCAGCTTTTCTTATTATTTTTTTAGACACTGGGTCTTCCTGTGTGGCCCAGGTTGGACTGTAACTCCTGGGTTCTAGTGATCCTCCTCTGTGTTTCTCATTGGCAGCTTCTACTTGAAATCCTCCCGTCAGTGGTCTATGGTGGCTCATGCCTATAATTCCAGCACTTTGGGTGAGGCAGGCAGATCACGAGGTCAGGAGATCGAGACCATACTGGCTAACATGGTGAAACCCTTTCTCTATTAAAAATACAAAATAAAAAAATTAGCTGGGCATAGTGGCATGCGCCTATAATCCCAGCTACTCGGGAGGCTGAGACAGGAGAATCACTTGAACCCGGAAGGCAGAGGTTGCAGTGAGCCAAGATCATGCCACTGCACTCCAGTCTAGGGAACAAAGTGAGACTCCAACTCTTTTATTTTTATTTATTTATTTATTTATTTATTTATTTATTTATTTATTTTTGAGACAGAGTTTCGCTCTTGTTACCAGGCTGCAGTGCAATGGCGCGATCTCGGCTCACCGCAACCTCTGCCTCCTGGGTTCAGGCAATTCTCCTGCTTCAGCCTCCCGAGCAGCTGGGATTACAGGCAC